TCCCCCTTCAATTGTTCCTGTCTGCTCTGATCAGGCATGTCCCTCTCCCTGAGCTGCAGCTTCAGTGCTGCATAAATTCTGGGGGAAGGGGCAAATGTCCACGTAGTTGGGATTGGGGCCAGCTCCTCATATAAATTATTTCTTAAAAGCTTAATTTCTCTCAATGGCAGAACTCTCTAAGGAAATATGAATATCATAGAAAATTTCTCACAGGCCTAAAGAACTGGAACTAAAAAGTGTCAGAATCATGCGTATGGTTTCAGTTTTAAACCAACCGTTATCATTTATGGCAATTACTTTGCTTGATTAACCATTTTCTCTCAGATAAAATGAACGATTTATAAATTAACTATATAGATATTGTTTATTTTTAATGAGGGCTTTTTTTGAAAGCATATCGTTGCTGTGAGTCAGAATTGACTTAATGACAGTGAGTTTGGTTTTGGAGAGGATTATTGTAGTAGTAAAATTTATTTGGCTTTATAAAAAGTGTACCAATTTCTTATTTTATAAGATATTGATACTGCTGTATTAGCTAGTAAGTACCCACTAATAACTTGTTGAATGTTGAATCAATGAATGCAAAAGTAGGTTTTAAAGTTTCATTTTTTGCAACTATGGAAGTACTTTTATGTTTTAAAAAATCTCATTTTAAAAATTTCAACAAATTCTGGATACCTACTATAGTTTTGAAGTTCTGTTGATCCTAGTAAGCTAATTTATATAAAGGCCCATAATTATTAATCAGGATATACATTTTCCCTACAAGAAAAATTACAAGTTGTTTATGTTAACAATAACCAAAGTCATTGATGACTTGCTAATAAAAGTGTGTTGTTTGCCAGTTCAGTGATTTAAAAAAATTAATCAGAATATTTTTACTAGAACTTAGGCAAGACAAACACTCTACTATTACCACTGACTTCCCACTCTTTGTTATTACATAAAGCTAGTTCACACTTTCAGTTCATGTGCTGGATTCTGAAAGCCTTGTGGGTTTGTGACCATATATTAGCCATAGATATCTTTCTTATTAGCTTTTCTTAGATAAAAGGAGCAGAAAATACTCTTGTTTATTTTTATAGGAACTATCATCTGAATTTTGGATAAAATAAAATTTCTGAAAGACAAAGAGAAAATCTTGAAAACAGCAAGAGAAAAATGTCTTATCACCTATAAGACACCACTAAGATTAACAACTCCCTCTGCACCAGAAACAATGCAGATTATGGGCAATAAAACAATACATGCAAAGTACTCAAAGGAAAAAGAGATTCAAGAATACCACATCCAACAAAGCTATGCTTTTAAAAGAAAGGGACAATAATGGCATTGCTAGCTAAAAAATAGAAGTGTACCAGACCCACCGTACAAGGAGTGCTTAAATTACTTAGATTGTAAATTATCCCAGTGTAATTTGAATCCATACCCAAAACACACCACACAAAACTCATTGCCTCCGCATCAATTTTGACTTAGCGTGATCCTACACATCAGGGTAGAACTGCCCCCATGGGTTCCTAAGGCTGTAAATATTTATGGGAGCAGTAAACCTCATCTTTCTCTGAAGCAGCAACTGGTGTTTTTGAATCGCTGACCTTGAGGTTGGCAGCTCAATGCATGACCCACAATACCACCCATTATAAACTAAGAAATGCAATGTCTATCATATCTTTTCTTAACAGATACAAACATGAATACGAGAAATATGTCAAATATTAACATCTGAGTTTGAATCTCACTTCTATATTTTTTAAATCTGTGACCTTGGACAAGGGACATAATGTCTGAAAGTCTTCATGTGCAACTTAAATAAGAACCACCGCACATAATTTTAT